TTTGAAGTCTTGTGGTGTAGTCCAGGCTAGCCTCAAAATCTAGCTCCGACTGCCTCAGCCTCCCAAGTGCTTGGAATTACATACATATGCCACAACACCCTGTGCCAACTCTGATTTCATTGTGAACCCTCTTTACAATTTTAACAGTCCTTTGTGGATTAAATGTGCTCCAGAAAGCAGGGCGTGGTGGCACATGCCTTTAATCCCAGCACTTGGAAGGCAGAGGTGAGTCCAGGATAGCCAGGGCAACAACACATAGAAACCCAGTCTTTTTTTTTTTTTTTTTTTTTTTTCTTAACCCAGTCTTAACAAACAAAAAAGATAAAGGAAAATGCCCTCCCATGAAAGTATCAGTAGAAGGGCTAAGATACAGCTCAGTCCGGAGAGTGCTGGCCTAGCATACTTGAAGTTCTAGGTTCCTCAGTACTGCATAAACCAGCGGGGCAGCGGTGGTGCACATCAGTAATCCCTGCACTGGGGAGGTGGGCAGAGGAGGAACAGAAATTCAAGGTCATCTTTGGCTATGTGGCAAGTTGGAAGCTAGGCTGGGCTACATAAGATCTTAACTAAAACATTTTTTTTTTCCTAGTCAGGATTTCTCTATGTAACAGTCTTAGCTGTCCTGGAACTAGCCTTGTAGACAGCGATCTGCCTGCTTCTATCTTCTGAATACTGAGATTAAAGGCATGTGCCACCACTGCCCAGCATAAAACATAAATTAACAAAAATAAATAAATAAAAAGAAAGCTGCCGTGTGGCCCAGAGGTTGGTGGTGATAAGCACCAACTTATTGAAATGTCGCATAAACTCGTCTCTTGGGAACACTTGACCTTCCTTTGCTAGTATGTCCTGCACCTAGGACCAGAGCCCATTATCAACCCTCCCGAGGGATGGGAGGGTCCCAAAGAGGGCGGTCTCATCGCTCCGTCTCCCCGCCCCCCAGCAGGCTGCAGTTTGCTGTGACTGGCTGAACCGGTTCCCGGGTCACCCAATCAGGACCCTCCAAGGAGGTGGAGGCGTGGCTTCGGGTCCCACCCAGGGTGGGCCCTTTCTTGAGCTCCTGCCACCGGTGACTCAGCAGGAAGGCGCGGCTTAAGTCGGACGGAAGGGCAAAGCCACGTCACGTCCTATTCCATCCTGATTTCATCCTGTCCGTGTTCAGGACGTCGAGGCTTATGGGGCTCGAGTGGGAATCCCAACACCTGGTCCCTGATGGTTTTTGGTGACCCAGCAAAACCCTGGAACTTTGATTGGGCTTTTGTTTGCTCGGTTTGCACAGTAGATAGGAACACTTCCCGGGGCAGTGCCTGTGAGTGGGAAGCCCTGGAAATTTGGCGCTTGACCTTACAGGAAGACAACCCCAGCTGCCTCATTTTTTGCTAATCCCTCAATCCTCAGTGTTTGGCTCCTGCTCAGGTTGCCTGGCAGGTGTAACAACACATAGATAGGGGTGACTAGCATGCTGCAGGGACATACAGACAGGGACATCGTGACTTGAATATATGATGAATAGGGGCCAGGGCTGGCGTGATGGCTCAGCGGAGGAGGGCACTTTCTATAAGAATCCCTGGGACCCACATGGCGGAAGGAGAGAACTTATGTGACTTGCACTACAGACATGCATGTAACATTTTTAAAGTAAGAGGGGCTGGAGAGAGAGCTCAGCCATTAAAGAGTACTTGCTCGGGCACTCGGGAGGCAGAGCCAGGCGGATCTCTGTGAGTTCTAGGCCAGCCTGGGCTACCAAGTGAGTTCCAGGAAAGGCGCAAAGCTACACAGAGAAACCCTGTCTCGAAAAACCAAAAAAAAAAAAAAAAAAAAGAGTACTTGCTCGGGATTGGGGATTTAGCTCAGTAGTAGAGTGCTTGCCTATCAAGCACAAGGCCCTGGGTTCTGTCCTCAGCTCCGGGAAAAAAAAAAAAAAAAAAAAAAAGAGTACTTGCTCTTGCATAGTACCTGGGTTCAGTTCCCTGCACCCACATGGTGGTTCACATCGTAACTCTAGTACCAGGGGATCCAGTGCTTTCTGACTTTGGTAATCTAATACGAGGTTGGAGAGATGGCTTAGTGGGTAAGATGGCCATTCAAACTTGAGGACCTGAGCTCAGATTCCAGAGCCCATGTATAAAACCAGAGTGACCGAGAATGCTGGAGCTCCAGGACGAGAGGGCAGAGACAGACTTCTGAGGCTTGGGGGCCTTTAGCCTAGCTCTAGGTTCAGTGAGAGTCCCTGTTTCAAGGGAATCAGAGAGTGACAGAACACAACACTCGATATCTTTTGTTTTTCGAGACAGGGTTTCTGAGTACTCCTGGCTGTCCTGGAACTCACTTTGTAGACCAGGCTGGCCTCGAACTCAGAGATCCAATATCCTCTTGGGCAAACAGTGACCACTGTGTACTCACACAAGTACATATACAATACACAGACACATGCATCACACATGCTAATAATTTAAAAATGATAGGCCAGGGAGCTGACTTAGCAGGTAAACACACCTGTCATGAAGCTGGATGACCCAAGTTAGCTCACCATAACCCATATGGTGACTTCCCAAAAGTTGTTCTATGACCTCCAAATTCCCTACTGTGTTATGTGCCTTCCCCTACACCAAAATAAAACAAGCAAATGAAAAACCCCAAAGGATTTAGTTTTATAGTTGGTTTAGAATTGCAATTGGGGGGAAGGGGGAGGTTTTGGTGTTTTCTGCTTTTGCATTATTTATTTGTGTGAAGAAACACAAATGTGGACCACAATCCACATGTAGGAGTCAGAGGACAACCTTTTTTTTTTTTTTTTTTTTTTTCAAAGATTTATTTATTTATTATGTATACAGCATGTATGACCGCAGGTCAGAAGAGGGCGCCAGATCTCACCACAGATGGTTGTGAGCCACCATGTGGTTGCTGGGAAATGAACTCAGGACCTCTGGAAGAGCAGTCAGTGCTCTTAACCTCTAAGCCATCTCTCCAGCCCGGACAACCTTTTTTTTAAAGACAGTTTGTCTGTGCAGCCTTGGCTATCCTTGAACTCAACCTGTCCACGCTGGCCTTGAGCTCACAGAGGTCTGCCTGCTTCTGCCTCCGCCTCCCAAATGCTGGGATTAAAGGCGTGGGCTACCACACCCAGCTTTTGTTTAGCAAGGTGGGTAAAGGGGTGTCAGTGAGATGGCTCATCAGTTAAGGGCACTGGTTCTCTTCCAGAGGACCCAGGTTTGAGACTTGGAGGCATAACACTCACATGGAAGCTCATAACTGTCGATAACTCTAATCTTAAGGGACCTAATGCTCTTTTCTGCCATCCCCGGGCACCAGGCATGCATGTGGTGCACAGACATACTGCAGGCAAAACATCCATACATATAGAAACAAAATTTTTTTTAAATGAGCAAAAGACCATTTAGATCAGTGGTTAAGAGCTCATACTGCTCCTCCAGGGTGCAACTGTGGGTAAAACCCTCTAGAAAAGGAGACCAAGAGGGGATAAGAATAAGTGTCATGACTTGACACATGGGAGGAAGAGAGACTGGGCAGATCTAACAGATGGGGAGCAGGGGGGTGAGGAGACATGAAGGAAGGAAATCTGCTAAATCACACTTGGTTTGAAAATGTCATGATTAGCTAGGCATGGTGACAAACACCTTTCATCTCAGTACCTAAGAGGTGAGTTCAAGGATAGCCTGGTCTATATAATGAGTTCCAGGCCATCTAGGGCTGCGGAGTGAGACCCTGTTTAAAAATGAGAGAGAGAGAGAGAGAGAGAGAGAGAGAGAGAGAGAGAGAGAGAGAGAGAGAGAGATCTAATACCTCATATGCTAACCTAAAAAATAAAATGGGGAAGGGCTAGAGAAACAGATAATGAATATAGAGAACTGGCTGCTCTTCCAGAGCCCTCGGGTTCATTCCCAAGCACCCACATCAGGCAGCTCACAACTTGCTTGTAACTCCAGTTCCAGATTAGACACTCTCTTCTGATCTCCAAGGAAATGTGCAAGCATGTTGTGTACACGTACACACACACACACAAACTTATGCCAGGCATAGTATAGCTCACACCTTTAACTCCAGCACTCAGGAGGCAGAGGCAGGTGGATCTCTGGGTTCCAGGCCAGCCTGGTCTACAGAGTGAGTTCCAGGACAGTCAGGGCTACACAGCAGAAACCTGGTCTTAAAATTTAAACAACCCGCCGGGCGGTGGTGGCGCACGCCTTTAATCCCAGCACTCGGGAGGCAGAGCCAGGCGGATCTCTGTGAGTTTGAGGCCAGCCTGGTCTCCAAAGCAAGTTCCAGGAAAGGCGCAAAGCTACACAGAGAAACCCTGTCTCGAAAAACAAAACAAAACAAACAAAAAAAAAAAAATTTAAACAACCCAATCTAGAAATGTACAGGTGGGAGAGAGGGAAGGTGGTGAGACCTCTCCAGATGCCCAGGCTGCTTAAAACTCCTAATCGACCTGCTTCAGCAAATAAATGCTGGGATTACAGACTTCTACCACCTGACCAATTCAGGCAGGGTCTCTCTCTCTAGACAAGGTCTCTTGTAGCCCAAGCTGACCTTGAACTCCTAGTCCTAAGAGGTAACATCACAGGTGTATACTACCAGAGTAGTTGTTTTTGGTTTTGGTTATGGTTATTTGATTTTCCGGGCTTGTTCAATCAGGTCCTCTCACTCTGTAGCTCTGGCTGGCCTGGAACTCCCAGCACTCCCCCCTCCTCAGCGCCCCCAGTACCGGGAGGACAGGCACGCACCAGCATGCTGTGCTTCCTTTCTTCTCCTGGATCTACATCTGTGGGTGTGGAATAGAATGGAGAGGATGACCAGAAGCTCCTCTAGGGCCCTGAGGCTTGCTATGGTGATTCAGCATTTCCAGGCTGAGGGGCCTGTGGAGAACTCCCAGATGATGCTCTTGGACCACAGCCTTTCATCTCTACACCGGGTTTTCTCCAGAAAGTCCTGTCTGGAGTCTTTCCAGCGGCCACGATACAGGTTCTCAAACAACGAGCTCAGTTAAAAGACCAGGGGATAATGCTTTATTGACTTGGCACCTATGAACATGGCCACAGGCCTCCAGGCTTCTTTGCTACAGCAAGGCGGAGGCTCTGTGCCCGGGGGCAGTGGAAATCGGAGGTGCTGCAGGAAGGGCTCCTCCTGTCCCTGCCTTGGCCCCTGCAGCCCCCTTGTTCAGCCCAGCACCATCTGGGTCCAGGTCCTCACCCAGCAGGGAAGGTAATGACCTAGGACCTTCTGCAGTCCTGTCAGTCTATAGAAAGAACAGCCCAACCCCTTCGGCCTCCCCTCTTTTTGCGGGGAGACCAAAATAGGTCATTAGAAGGGTTGGAGGGTATTTAGAGAGAACCCAAGCCTCATGAATACGGGTGGAGAGAATGGTTGGGAGTACTATGTAGGAGTTCCCCCAATAGAGAGGAGGTGAGTCATTCTCCCACATCTGTTTTGGCTGAGCAAAACATTGCCATGTTCACTGGACTGGGCCTCAGAGCAGGTGACAACCGTCTGAGACCACACAGTAAGAGGATGGGGGTTGGGGGTACTGCAGTGCAGCTCCTCCATGCGAGGGGAGAGAGGGGCACCAGGAACTGCAGAAACCACAGGAGGGTATCCTGGAAAAGGAGGGGCAGCCCCCACAGGCTCCTTTGATATGCTATGGAGTGCAGAGCCCGCTGGGTCACAATGGCTGGCACAGGACACTGGCATCCTCGCTGTGGTCACAGTTGTGGACATCCCAGCGGATATGAGAGCAGAGTAGCAAGGTGCTCTCATCTCCTCGGCATTTGACATTGTCCAAGAGGATGGGGCCTCGGCCTGGGCCAAAGTGGGCCTCGCCAGGGGCTGCCAGAGCCTGGCCACATCCCAGCTGACGGCACAGGACGATGGCTGCCCGTAGGTCCCAGGCGTCATCGCAAACAGTGCCCCACCGCTGTCCTAGGAAGAGCTCTACACGCCCCTCACATCGGTGGGTTCCACTAGCCAGGCGGAGGTGCCCTGTGTTGGAGATAAGGCCCAGAGTCAGAAGAGTCCATGGGCTCAAGAGATGGTTCCATGGCTGGTGGCATTTTTCACCAAGCCAAGATGACTTGAGTTCTATCCCCAAGCCCATTTGGTGGAGGGAGAAGACCAACTCCCACAGCTTGTCTTCAGACCTTCACATTCATACTATTGTGTGTTCACGTACAAGTGAACACACACGTGCACATACAGACATATGCACAGACACAAATAATAAATGATGCTGGACATGGTGGCACACACCTTTAATCCCAATGCTAGGGAGGCAGAGACAGGTGGATCTCTGTGAGTTCAAGGCCAGGCTGGTCCACATAAATATAAGCCAACCAGAGCTATGTAGTAAGACCCTCAAGAGACAAGGTAATAAGAATTGTTTTTAAAAGGAGCTGACTCATGCTGGAAACTTCCACGCTAGACTGGGTAAGGGGTGGAGAGAGGAGACAAAAAGTGCTGACAGAAGACAGACACAGCAGTGCCCTGGAAGCCCTCAGGACAGCAAATGACAATAAATAAAGCTGGGCAGCAGGACTCAAGACAAGGAAATCTGCTCACATGTTCTCAGGGCTCTGTTCTCCGCTGGGGCCTCTGCTCTTAGCTTCAGCCCCTTAGCCACAGGCTAGCTGTTTGGAGACTGTGATCATGTCTTATCTTGTCTCCCCTTCCATACCTGGATTCCCTGAGCTAATCTGATGTGTTTCTGAGGTAGAGCCTTTGTATGTGGCTCAGGCTGGACTTGAATTCACTATCCGTCCGACCTAAGACTCCACAATGTTAGGGTGAGAGCCATGGGCCGTCATGTCTAATTCTGCTTTCTCTCACCATTTGCTCCAAGATAGGATCCCCATCCCTTCAGTTTGAGCCCAACACTAGAAGTCTCCAGGTTGCTCTAGGATTTTATTTAGAGTTGTGAGACCCAGGTGGGCTTCAAAATACACAAAGCTAGCCGGGCGGTGGTGGCGCACGCCTTTAATCCCAGCACTCGGGAGGCAGAGCCAGGCGGATCTCTGTGAGTTCGAGGCCAGCCTGGTCTCCAAAGCGAGTTCCAGGAAAGGCGCAAAGCTACACAGAGAAACCCTGTCTCGAAAAACCAAAAAAAAAAAAATACACAAAGCTGGCCTTCAACTGATTTTTTTTCTGCCTCAGTCTCCCAAGTATTGGGATTGCAGGGGTGTTCCAAGACACCCAATTTATGAGGTGCTCCGTGTCACAGATAAAGCCAGGGTTCAGAAAGGGCTGGCCCATGGCTGACACAACTAGAGACCAAACCGAAGCTCCTGCATGCTAGGCAAGCACTCTACTACCCACTGAGCTATATACCCTGCTTCACTCCCCCCCCATCTACCTCCTTCTTTCTGGGTATTATACTCCCATTAATGAGGCCTGAGATCAACACAAAAGGACAAGCGTTCTGGGACCTGGTCAGTTCTGCTGACGTGCTGTAATGCAAGCGTTGCCCTTCCTCACTCCAGGTCCATCTTACCACCAAGGTTCCAACCTCATTTTCAGGGGCAGTAGGCACCTACCATCTCTGGGTCGAGGACTGGGCATTCGGGTGGTCTCAGAACCATCCTGCTGGACTTGGAGTCCCAGCTCCTCTGGGCCTGGCTCAGCACGGGCAGAAAACAAAGAGGTGGCTGTCATTTTGGGGAACGTGCTCCCTAGGGCCAGGTCATCTCTCCTAACCTTCCCAGGTTTTAGAGACAGAAGGACCAAGAAGAACTGCCACCCTACTGTAGGAGACACAGGAGGGGCCCCCTAGGCCTAGGCATCCAATTAAAATGGAGATACCACTTCTACAGCAAGCAACAAACAAAAGGAACTGACAACGTCCCATCAGACTTTGTAAGAGCCCTTTTATTCATTGATTTCTTTGGAAAGCCAAAGGCTAGCTCTGGGAAAGCCGTCCACTCCACCTGCTTCCTATCCATCACTATTAGTAGGGAACCTTGACTCAGCAGGGAGGGAATAAACCATACAGCCCCTTACAAGGAGGCTAACAAAGCATGAAAGATCCCTAGGTCGCGCCCTATTCTGTCCCTGCAGAGGACTCGCCCTTCCGGTCACGCCCCTACCGCGCAGCCGCAGAGAGTGCCTGGGGGGTGCGGTTACTCCCCTATGCGTAATACTTCCGCTGCACTGCAGCAGAGACTGCCACGCCCATTCCTCATCTCCGCAGAGCCCGGGATGTGAGGCCCCGCCCACTGTTGACTACCGGGTCCACAAAACAGTGAGCGCCTGCGTACAGCTTCACGCTCGTCTTCTTGGGGCCGGTCCTGAACGCTGCGCAGGTCCTGCTCGCAGGGCTGTACGCGCCTGCGCAGGACCGCACCCGTGCCTTTCAGTGTTGACCCCACCCTCGCTGCGAGTGTTTCAAGAGGCCACGCCCACAGGGCGGCGATGGTCGGCGCACCGCCCTCCTCATCCGCTTCATGCTCCGCCCCCACACGACACCCCGCCCCTCTTCTGAGTCAGCCCCGCCTAGATTGTCAGTGGGCGCATGCGCCCAGCCCAGCCCATGCTTGCGTGCTTCACGCGCTGCTGCTCCGCTCCTTCACGCCCCGCCCATATCGCGAACAGCGCCTGCGGGAGACCCCGCCCATTTCCCCCCCGCTCTGACTCCGCCCCTCCCGCGCCACCTTTTCACCTGCGCACAATGCCCCGGCGTCTTCGTGATGGCCGCAGTTGTGCTGGCCCCAGCCCAGGTGGAAGCAGTCGCTGAGGCGGGCCTCGGTACCGGTGCAGCCTACGTTGTCCAGCAGCACGGGGCCTCGGCCGTAGCCGAAATGACCGAGGCCCGTGGCTCCTAGCGCGGGCCCGCAACCCGCCTCGCGACAGGCCACGCGCGCGTCCGCGAAGTCCCAGTCGTCGTCGCACACGGTGCCCCAGCCCCCGGCGTACAGCACCTCCACGCGGCCGCGGCACGGGCTCGGGCCGCCTACCAGCCGCAGCCTACCGCCTGCGGGGCGCACAGGCCGGTGCCAGCGTGGTTCCCTATTGCAGCCCGCTTCCCACCCGCTCCCACCCGCTGCGGGACCCCGGAGGCCACTTACTTTTCTTCCCCGAGCCCCAGGCTGCCGTGGTGGACCGCACGGTATCCCTGGAAGGCAGGGCTCCCACTCCTGTAGCTGTCGAAACAAGGGAGCCTTTGAAGGAGGGCGAGAGGCCGTTTACCACACCCACAGCTCTGCCTCAGTCCCAGAGCCATAGTGCTGTCTGGGAAGTCGCCAGAAAACTTGATAGGAATAAACATCTTTTGGGTTTTTCCTCCTTTTTTTTCCCCAGACAGGCTCTCAATATGTAGCCTTCATTGGCCTGGAACTCACTACATAGACCGGGTTGATCTCAGGCTCACAGAGATCTGCCTCCCGAGTTCTAGTATTAAAATCTTTGGGGTTTTGAGACAAGGTCTTGCTGTGTCGCTTAGGTTGACTTTGAACTCCAAAGCCTCTGGCCTCAACTTGGTGTGAGCTACCATGCCTGCTTTATGTGGTGCTGGGATGGAATGCTGAGGTGCTGAGGGATGTAACTCAAATCACCTGGGTTACAACCCTCAACTCCCAAATCTTAAATACACTAATTTTAACCACAGTGATAGCTGTAGCCCTAATTCCAAACTTGCTTCTAACTTGGATTTCCAGTTTGAATTTCCTCACATGGCGTCTCTGTTCCCTACCTCAGCAGCAATCCCTAATTTGACTCAAGCATTTTAAAGACATCTCTTACTCACCCTTCTTCATTCCTCAGAGCTGAGTGTCATCCATGCTCCCATCTGCTCATTTATTCTCACCCATCTCTACCATCTGCCCCAAAGCCTCAGCTGAAGTCACTTTCCTGGGTCTTCTAGAACAGCTTCCTTAGTTCCCACCCCTACCCGCCTTGTCCCAGCCCTTCCAGCTGGGGAGGTGGGCTCTTTACCTGCTGGCTCAGTGTGCCACGCCCAGTCTTCTTTTGTGGCAGAGGGAGGCAGTGCTGTGAAAGTTGGAGGGCTCAGAACTAGAGCAGGAGAAGAGACAGAGGGTCAGTCACAGGACTAAGGGGCTCTCCCAAAAGAAAACAAATTTGACTCGCGGGGCTGGAAGCCCAGCCAGGATAAAATGAACCCTGCCCAACCTCGACCCTAGTAATTTATGTGTGGTACACAGATGTATGCAAGCCTGTTGCATGCTTTGAGTTCAGTGTCCAAGGTTCTCAAGAAGCCGGATGTGTACAAAATACAAAGGTGCAGAGCTTTGCCCACTAAGGCCCTTTGCTCATTTCTGAGGGACTCACAGAAGAAGACTGTGCCAACTTATAGCTCGGTTGGTAGAGTGCTTGCCTAGCATGCACGAGGTCCTAGGTCCATCCTAACATCACACAAAATGGGTCTGGTTGTACATGTCTGTAATCCCAGCACTGGGGAGGTGGAGGCAAGAGGATCAGGAGTGTAGTGTCATCCTTTAAGTACTGAGTTTTAGGCCAGGCTAAAATAGAAGACCAAAGAATCTTTATCCTCGTCTATAGATAAAATGAGGCTAGAGCCGGGCGGTGGTGGCGCACGCCTTTAATCCCAGCACTCCGGAGGCAGAGCCAGGCGGATCTCTGTGAGTTCAAGGCCAGCCTGGGCTACCAAGCAAGTTCCAGGAAAGGCACAAAGCTACACAGGGAAACCCTGTCTCGAAAAGACCAAAAAAAAAAAAAAAAAAAAAAAAAAAAAAAAAAAATGAGGCTAGAAAGGAGAGGGAGCATGAACACCATTGATCAAGGTCAGTGGTGATTCTGCTAGAACTCTGGGTGACTCTGGGTAAGGCTCTGCCTCTTAGTACCTCAGCTTTCCCATCTGTAAGCTGGGATTGATAGCCTCTGGTTTGCTACAAACACTTTCCGTCCTATAGAACAGAGTCCGTTTGTGAAATGGTGTTCCGGCTCCACGAGTCTTATTTGCTGGGCTAAGGGTGTAGTTAGCCCAGGGGTAGAGTACCTGGTTTATATGCACAAGGTTCTGGGTCTGTTTCCCCAGCAGGTAACAATAATAACCCACCTGCTAGGTAGGGTGTGGGGGTTAGTGCCTGCAATACCCGCACTAGGGAGGCTAATTCAGGAGGAGGCCAACCTGGGCTAGAGTGAGACCCTGCCTCAGCAAGACAAAAATCACATCTATTTGATTTTACTTTGAGGCAGGGTCTCACTAAGTAGCCCTGTCTGGCCTTGGACTCACAGAGAGAGAGAGATCAGCCTGCCATTGCCTCCTAAGAGCTGAGATTAAAGGTACATACCACCAGGCCCAGCCTTTTATTATTTTATTTTGAGGCAGGGTTTTGTGAAGCCCAGGCTGGCTTCAAACTCCTTACGTAGTAGGGGATGACCATGATCATTATGGCTATTGTCCTGAGTGCTGGAGCTATAGGTATATACCAGGATGCCTGGTTTATGTGGGGCTAGAGATGAAACCCAGGGCTTCACGCATGCTAGGCAAGTACTCTCTCAAACAAGCTACATCCTCTACCCCAGTGCCGACCTGTTATTGCTGAAAACACCTCCCAAATTAGGGCCCACATGGGAGAATATTCTATTTATTACATCCTCAGGATTGCAGATAGCTGGGCAGGGTTCTGCAGATAGGTGCAACATCCTAGAATATTTTTGCTTTATTCTGAAATAGTCCATGAAGAATACTTGAAAATTGCTAGAAAATTCTGGAGGCATTTCTAATAACAGAGGAATACTACGATATTCTCTATAGCTACAGTGTGTGAGAAGGAGAGTTATTCTCAGTTGCTTCCCCAAAGGCCTGAGATAATACAGGTAATTTCAGAGCCTTTCTGGAGAGATCTGGAAAGTACAGTTAGCCAAACCCCTTTTCCCACCCCTACTCCTTCGAAAGGCCCCGCCCCTCTGGCCCGGCCCCGCCCCGCCCCTGCCCGCTCCTGGCACCTGCACAGAGCGCCCCAGCGTCTTCGTGGTGACCACAGTTGTGCACGCCCCAGCCGAGGCTCTGGCAGGCTGCCAGGCGGGGCTCTCCACCTTCGCAGTGAACGTTGTCCAGCAAGATATGCCCGGTGCCATAGCCGAAAAAGGCATTAGTGGTGGCGGCCAGGGCGGCCCCACAGCCCAGTTGGCGGCACACGACAGCAGCATCGGGCAGCCCCCAATCATCGTCGCAGACGGTGCCCCACAGGCCACCATGCAGGATCTCCACTCGGCCTTGACACGGGCCCGCGCCGCCCACCAGGCGCACGCTGCCCTCACCTGGTGAAGGTGGATGGAGGGGGCGGGGCAAGCAGCATCTTTGAACTGCTAGGAGGCGTTTTCATCCACTTCCTCAATGCACCAAGCCTCCCTGGCTAGGCACAGTCCCCAGGGCGGCAGGACCAGAACCCTAGCAGGGATAAACTAGCCGACCCATCCCCCTTGACCAAGCCTTCCGACAGTCCGGAGAGTTGGATTGTGGGTCCCAGGATAACCAGTTTGGATTGCGTCATCCTGACCTAAAACCAGGTTTTCTTTCTTATCCCTGCTCTACTGGCCTTCTCGAATGTGCCTGTTTGTCATTTACAGCCGCCCAAAGAAAACCTCACTTTGCAAGATGTAGTGGGCACATTCCTCTTCCAGGAAGCCCTCCCTGACAGATGGGTCCCTCCTCCTCTGGGCTTCCTCCCCCTACTTGTCCCTCAAAAGAGGGTCCTTGTTCTACACGGCAGGCATGACCTTGAAGCCCTCCTCCAGCCTACCACGGGTCTCCCCACACTACCATGACTTACCTTTCCCATTTTGGAGGACTGTAGGGGGTGCTACACTGGTCAACATCTTCCTTGTCTGGGGCTGTGTGTGTAAGAATTCTGCAGAGGAAGGAAACAAAGACACAGGGATCTTTCTGTTCTCATCCTTGCACAGCATGTGAGCGTCAGCTGTCTAGAGCCGGAAGATGCCCAGAAGATGCCTGCTTTCAAGACCAAAGCGCCAAATCCTGGATGTGGAGAGTCACCATCTAGCCCCAAACTTGCTATGTAGGGAAGAATGACTTTGAACTTCCTTCCGATCCTCTTGCCTCCCAAATGCTGGTTTCACAGGTATGTGTCACCATGCCTGTCCAACAGCATAGTTCTTACTATTTTTGTAGTGTGGGTATGTATAGTGTATACATGTGTGCATGCATATGTGCAGGTGCATGCACCCATGCATGCGCACGTGGAGACCAGAGGTCCATGCTGGGTGCTCTCTATTACTCTTCATTTTATTTATTAATTGGTTATTATAAACTTTTTTTAGATTTGCTCGTTTCATGTGTCTGGTAACCCCAGTGGTCCGGTTTATTAAATAGGAGGGGCAAGCAGGTGGAGGGAGAAGAATCAGGTGTTCCAGGCCAGCCTGGCCTATATGAGACTTCATGTCAAATAAATGAACGAATGAGTGAATGAATGAATGGATGGATGGATGGGGTGTGTGTGTGTGTGTGTGTGTGTGTGTGTGTGTGTGTGTCCATACAGCTCAGTGGTAGATTACTTGCCTAGAGACATCCTTCCCCAGGCTGGGCATGTGGCTTAGTGGTAAATTGATTGCCTAGCATGCATGAGGACTAGGTTCAATCCCTAGCCATGGAAAAAGGAAAACCAGGAGGAGAACTCTATGTGGGCAGTCAAGTCCCACCTGGAACCCCGCTAGTTTCTTTGGTCCATGAGCCAAAAGTATTCTAGCATCAGAGAGAGACGCTTGCTTGGCTCCATAGCCTTCCCGACCGTCACTCACCATCACACAGGACCGCCACATCTTCATAGTGAAAGCAGTTGTGGACACCCCAGCCCCTGCTGCCACACTCGCTCAGGGAAGCTTCCTGCCCCCGGCACTCCACGTTATCCAGGAAAATGGGGCCTCGGCCTTGGCCAAAGGCGAGGGGCCGCGGCACAGGCAGTGCCAGGCCACAGCCCAGCTGACGACACACCACGTTGGCATCCACAACGTCCCAGTCATCATCGCAAACACTGCCCCAGGAACCGCTGTGCATGACCTCCAGGCGCCCTCGGCAGCGGCTGGGGCCCCCCACCAGCCGCAGCTCTGTAAAAAGGGGGACAAGCTGGTGCCATGGGGAATCAATCGGGAGCCCAAGTTACAGGGCGCCATGAAAGCCTTCGAACTAGTGTGGCTGCACCATGCGAGTTTGGGAGCATCCGCGAACCGATGAAGGGGAGGAGGCCGAGCTTACCTGGAAAGGGCAGTGGAGTGGGCTGGAGGGCACTGGCTGAAACAGACGGAGAAAGGACGTGAGTCCCTGCTCAGCTTCGGAGGACTGGTCCCTTCCCCACGGGTCTCACCATCACTCTCCTCCTCTTGGAAGACTCCGTTTCCAAAAGCCTCATCGTCTCTGTCTAGGAGCACCCCACCAACCTCCCTGTCCCAGTGGTCCATAGGCCACTGCAGATCTGTTCTGGACCCATTGTGTACTCCATAGCAAAACCTCACAAGCACACTCGGCTACCTGCAGGAGTCTTAATGCTTGAGGCTTCTCCCTACAAATCACGTTTCAGTATCTTTTTTCTTTTTAAGAGCTAGTTTATATTATTATTTTTTTCTTTTCCTTTTTTTTTCTTGTTTTGGTTTTTCGAGACAGGGTTTCTCTGTATAACAGCTTTGTACTCACTTTGTAGACCAGGCTGTCCTTGAACTCACAGAGATCCACCTGCCTCTGCCTCCCGAGTGCTGGGATTAAAGGCATGAGCTACCATTTATATGTGTGTATGTATGTGTGTGGCGGTCAAAGGACAATTTGTAGGAGTTGGATCTCTCCCTCTACCATATGGGCCTTGTGAATTGAACTCAGGTGGTTGCAGCGAGTGCTTTTATCTGCCAAGTCATCTCACTAGTATCGTTTTAAAATTTATTTTATTGTGTGGGTGTTTTCCCTACATGTTCTGTGCACTACATGCAGTACCACCAGAGGCCAGAAGAGGGCATCAGATTCCTCTAGAACTGAAGTTACAGGTGGTTGTGAGTCACTATGAGGATGCTGGGAATTGAACCTGGGCCCGCTGGAGGAGCAGCTAGTGCTCTTAACCAGTGAGCCATATTTTCCAGTCCCTTTTTAATGACTTCTTGAGGTAGAGTCACATAGTCCAGGTTCACCTGGAATTTGTTATGTAGATAAGGATGGCTTTGATTCTATCTCCTAGGTGTCAACATTCCTCATGCTTCTTCTCTTTGAATATATATATACACACACACACACACACACATACACATATATATATACTCTATGTGTGTGTGCGCACACACACATTCACATGTCATGTACATATGTACATAGGACAACTTTGGGGAGTCAGTTCTCTCTTTCCAACATATAGGTTATAGGAATCTAACTCAGGTCCCCAGGCTTGATGACAAGCTTCCTTACCGGATGAGTCATCTCGGCTGTCCTGTTTTGTTTGTTTGCTTTCTGAGACAAGGTTTCTCTTTGTAGCAGTCCTGGCTGTCCTGGAACTCACTTTGTAGACCAGGTTAGCCTAGAACTCACAGAGATCCACCTGCCTCTGCCTTCCGAGTGCTGGGATTAAAGGCCAGTTTTTTTGTTTGTTTGTAGACAGGGTTTCTCTGTGTAGTCCTGGCTGTAGCCCAGGCTGGCCTCAAACTCAGAGATCTGCCCGCCTCAGCCTCCTGAGTGCTGGGGTTTAAAGGCTTGGGCCATCACTGTCTGACTTGTTTTTGTTGTTTTTTTGAGACAGGGTCTCATGTAGCCCAGGCTGGCCTGGAACTTGATGTGTAGCTGAGGATGTCTTTGATTTTCTGACTCTTCTGCTTCTGCTTTCCAAGTGCTGGTATTACAAACATGTACCGCCATGCCTGGTCTCCCACCACAGTGTTGGACAGCCGGGGAAACTGAGAGCTGTGGGTAGCAGGGGCTGGCTGGGAACACTCACCCAGTGGGAAGAGAAGAAGGAAGGACAGGGCTGGGGGGAGGGGCAGAGGGGCAGCACCCCCATCCCCAGGCCTCCATCCCCCACTCCACTCGTCGGGCGGGGCACCAATTTGCATCTCTGCTTCCTTGTGCATCCAGCCAGTGGATGGCTTTTCAGAGGGTCCCATCAGGAATCCGAGGAGAAGTCACAGCTGGAACATCTGGAACTCAAGATCCCCACCGTTTCCTTCCAGCTGCAGGGGCCAGCTGCAGGGGGAGGAGAAGGACATATCCACATGGGGGTGACATTCCTAGTGGAGGGAAAGACAGGTGCGACCGCTCGGAGATGAGAAAGATGACCGTGGGCCAGGACACGGCTCGGTAGAATGCTTGCCTAGACCCCGCCATTGAGAATCCAGAGGAACGGTTCAGCAGTTGAGAGCATACCCAGCATCCCTTATTGAGGAGCTGGGGGTGTGACTCAGTGGTTGCTGAACTCATAAAGGCCCTAGGTCCATTTTCAATACCACAAAAGAGGAAAGGGGGAAAAAAAAAGATGGAGTGAGCATGGGAATTAATGAGGAGCTGCATTTGGCTGTAGCTGAGGCTGTGTGAAGGCAAAGGATGGCATATGGGATCGGCAGGATGGTGGGTTCCAACCAAGGCAGACCCAGTGGCTCAGAGTTTATCCTCCAGGCCTTCATAGCCCAAAGTGTGGTTGGTACTTGTTAATTTAGGGGACTGTAGATATATACTTAAATTGTATTTCTCTATTTAATTACATTATTATTACTTTGGTTTTTCGAAACAGGGTTTCTCTGTGTAGTCCTGGCTATCCTGAAACTCACTCTGTAGACCAGGCTGACCTCGAACTCAGAGATCCGCCTGGCTCTGCCTCCCGAGTGCTGGGATTAAAGGCGTGCGCCACTACCGCCTGGCTTTTTTTTTTTTTTTTTAAAGATTTATTTATTTATTATGTATACAGCATGTATGACTGTGGGCCAGAAGAGGGTGCCAGATCTCATTACAGATAGTTGTGAGGCACCATGTGGTTGCTGGGAATTGAACTCAGGACCTCTGGAAGAGCAGTCAGTGCTCTTAACCTCTGAGCCACCTCTCCAGCCCCCCCCCCTTTTTTTTAAGACAGAGTTTTACTATACAGCTAGCTCTGCCTGTCCTAGAACTGGCTATGTGGACCATGCCAGGCTTGATCTCACAGAGACCTGTGTTCTGGAGGCCTCCTGAGTGCAATCCTCTCTCAAGAAGTAAGGTGCAGTGAGTGAGGAGAACATTTGACATCAACCTCTAACCTCCCATGCACTTTATGTGTGTGTACGACTGCAAACACACACACGCACATGCACACGCACATGCGCACGCGCACGCGTGCACACACACACACGCACACAAAAGCTGAAACCGGGAAGATCAAGAGTTCAGGTCAGGCTAGAGAGCTACCTGAGCAGGTAAGACCACACAAACTTGCTGCTCTTCCAGAAGGACCCAGGTACATTCCCAGGACTTACATGGTGACTCACAACTACCCCTAATTCCAGTTCCAGAGGACCCAATACCCTCTTCTGACCACCGTAGGTACCAGCCACACACATGGTGCACATACACGCATGTAAGCAAAGCACTCATGCACATTCAATAAATAAATATTTTTTTAAAAGAGTTCAAGGTCACCCTCAGCTGCATAGCAAGATTGAAGTCAGCCTGGGCTAAAATGAGACTCTGTCTCAAAAATCAAACAAAACAAAAATTTGGTTATGGTTAGTTACTTCTGAGGCAGGAGAATTGCCACAAGTTTGAGGCAAAGCCTGGCTACCTGGTGAGTACCAGGCCAGCTTGAGCTACAGAGAATGAGACCCAGGCTCAGTTCCCATCCCTCTCAAAAAAAAAAACAAAAACAAAATTCCCAGAGGAGGGCTGGAGAGATGGCTCAGCGGTTAAGAGCACTGGCTGCTCTTCCAGATGACCTGGGTTCAATTCCCAGTACCCACATGGCAGCTCACAACTGTCTGTAACTCCATTCCCAAGGGATCTGGCACCCTCACACAGACATACATGCAGGCAATATACCACATAAAAATAAATAAATCTTAAAGAAAAAATTCTGATAGACAGGCAGACCTCTATGAGTTTGTGGGTAGCCTGGTCTAAAAGAGAGTTCCAGGCCAGCCAGGGCCTGACTAAAAACAAACAAAGAAATAAGCAATTCTACCTGTGATTCTCAATGAAATTTTACATAGTTAGTGGCACCCTGACTGTCCCATCTCCTTCAACAGGAGTGTGAATCTGGGTGTTGAGTTTGGGCTGGGGGCAGATGGAGGCTGTTTCAGAGGCTGACGGGGCTCTCAGGACACCAGATCATAAGAGTTGGGGGTTGAGGGGAGAGAGAAAGTACAGATGCAGAAAATAGTAGAGTGTCGAAGGGGCAGGACCGGGCTTTCGTGGACTGGAGGAGAGACGCACACACCTGATTCCCAGCCACTTTGGGGATGGGCATGGCAGCAATCCGTAGAGGAGAAAATGGTCCTGTGTGGGATCCTCGGAGTCTGAGGTGCCCAGGGGCATGGTGCCCCTCCCTGGAGCCTCTCTCCCTGGCTTTGGACTCCACCCTGGCATGCAGTCAGTGCATTTGGGCGGAGAGGTGAAAACAGATCTGGATGTGGACATGAGGCTTTCAACACACCATTCATGGAAGCCCAGGATAGCCCCCTGCAGAATAATCACCTTTTGTCTTCCTTTTGCCCTGACTGGGGACAGCTGGGACACGGGAACTGAGAACTGTAAGAAGGATGGCAGCTACAAGCCAATGTTTCCTGGTGGGGATACATAGTTTCCCGGGCCTTCCCATGGCTCCCAGGCCACCCACTTCTAAGGGGGCCCTTCCCTCACCCCGGGCCAGTTCACTCCCCTACCTGAGGGACTGATATCTTTCGAAGCCCCTGCCAGAAATCCTCAGCTGCCCTTATTATGGTATCCCTGCTGCTGCAGCCGGGAGCCAGAGAGAAAGCCACTCTCCCCCATGAAAGCCGGCAGGAACTTCAAACCCCAGACAGCCTGACTCTCTAGATCATGGCGTGCCCAGGGAATCCAGCCTCAGCCTCACAGCCTTCAGCTCCAAACTGACTCCCAGAATCCGTTCCTGTCCCATTCTCAGGGGACAGCAGTGGAAAGACCTCTTTGTCCCTGTCCTAAGTGGCCATGGCCGTTTGTTTGCTTTTGAGAGAGGTTTTCGAACTCCTGTGAAGCCAAAGGTGACCTTAAACTCTTCACTCTCCGTTTTCACCCCTAAATGCTGGGATTATAGGCACGAGCCACACCATGTCTGCCTTCCAGGGTTCTTTTAAATATTTTCTTGTTTTATGGGTATGGGTGTTTTGCCTGCAGGAATATACGGGCACCACATAGGTACCTGGTTATCTGAAGAGGCCAGAAGAGGGCATTGGATCCCTTGGGATTAGATATAACAGCTTTGAATTACCACATGGGTGCAGGGAATCGA